AACAACATGCAAACTCCACACTAAGAACCCAGCCAGCCATTGTGTTCCACTGTACATCTTTCTAACCACTGCACCACCATACTATAGACAGCTGTGAGTATGATATAATAACCTGTGTGCAAAGTTAACTTTTAAGTCATGCTAATGTGGTGGTTTATTACTTTGGTCTATGCTGATAGCATAGCTGTAGACTATAGCCTTGTTATCCTGTGTGATAGTGATGGAAGCTCATAGTGAGTCCAAAACAGAAGGGGTTCATCCTCTGAGAAGCATGATTGTGCTCTATAGTAAAGTTAAATCAAGTAAGTTTTATTAACAAAGCCCAGTATCACAAATTTACTTAAAGGGCTTTACAATCTGTACAGCATACAGCACCCTCTGTCCTCACACCCTCGATTCAGAAAAAGAAAAACTCTGCTAAAAACCCTTTTCATGGGGAAAAAATAGGTGTTGTAATTGTAATTAGGATGATAAAATTATTGTAAACATAGAGAATATAAATCTGGGAGGATGTCAAACATCTTCCAGGTGTCACCAAACAGATACATGTAATATCTGATGACTAGAGATTGAGGTTTCTCATGTACAATTAGACATTTGGGGCTGAGGCTAGTGGTGACCAAGAATGTTAAGATTCATGCCCTGGGGGACCAGACCATGTAGTCTGTGCCAGATGTTAAGATGTCTTACTAGAGACTGAAATGTTTGATGGACAAATAGACAGGCAAATGGACAGATACCTTTATTCTGAGAAGCTTGTGCTGGGCAATGAAATCAAGTGAAAACTGATTTGGAGAATGCAGCTCCCACAATAGACACACATTTGCCTAATGTGGTGGACTCCTGTTTAGTCAATTGTGCATGGAATAACAGCTCATGGATGATGGTGGCTGTACTGTCAGCTCAGCTTCTGTGTACTGCACCAGATCTCACCTGGATACCATCAAAAAGTGAGCTCCATGCTGCTGATGGTGTGTAAATGAAAACAGACAGCCCCTGAAAGCCGCAAGCCTCCTCTGCTGGATTCAGTCCCAAGTGAAGGTGAAAGTGAAGACAGACGCAGCACAGACTGTATGAATTCCTTCTGCACCTGTCCTCCTTTAAAGTGGAATCAGTATGACATGGTGATAAAAGTATCACCAAAGAGCCCCAAATCCACTGAGTAATGTTAAGATGACTTCTCACGCATGACCTTTTATTTTAGTCACTCAACTTTTGAACTATTACCCAAGGCTGATAATGCCCTGGATTAATTCCAGCAGACATGTAGCAGCATGTTTAAGAAGCATCCCAGAATAAAAAATCCTGTAGTTTTGACGGAGGCATATCGCATTGCACGGAACAGATTGATTTCTTCTGCTGACAGGCACTGTATGTGATATATAGATACAATGTAATTATGAGAATGAATGTATTTTTAATAACTGAAACACAGCCACAAAATCTTTGATCCATGTCATTCATAACTGGAATTTGAACAGTATTAACTTTGTCAGTAGGCTACAGCACAACAAAGTAGAAAATAACAACAATAAAAACAATCAAAACAGACAGCTTTTATTTACTTCAGTTTCACAGATAAGAAACAATAAATTGTGAGAACAATAAAGCTTTCACAAAAATAGCATTTCATGTCTTCTTCTTCTTTATACTGGCTTCATATGAGTAGAGAAAAAGGCTACTTAGGCTAATTTATAAAATGTAAAATGCCATAGGCTTGTGCTCACAATGTTAGCATGTTATATTTGCTTGGAAAACATGTTTAGTAGAAGACAGTCCTTTTGTCGATGTACCCTGTGAGCTGTAATGCAGCCAAATTTTGTAACATTACCTTTGTTAAATGTTGCTGTTGTCACTAGATTCACTTGAGTAGAGGAGAAGTTTGCTAGCCGCTAGGCAAACTTATACAACGTAAATTGCCATAGGCTTGTGCTAAATACATTGGCATGTTGTATTTGTGGGGGAAATGTGTCCAGCAAAAGCAGATGCTTTGTCTGTGAATGCTGCGAGTTATAGTGAAGCCGATTTGTGTATTTGAAATTGTCGTTATTAAGTTTACAGCGCTTTACAGAAACCCTGCCGCCAACTAATGTTTTGGAGGTGTATGTAACTGTTGTGCAGCTGCATATTTTCAAACAGAGAAAAAAATTCCTGTCTTTGCGTTTTATTTTTTATCACTTTATTTGTCTGTTTTTATAAACTGCTTGTGACATCTCAAATGTGGCTTTGACTTGCAACTGAAAACATGTGATGTCCAATATGTTCCATATTGCCCAGCCCTAGAATTAATCTGCAGATGTAGATGGAACTACATCCATTTTCAAAATTCGTACATGTTATTCCTATGGTCTAAGACAGTATGAAAATATTAGTAAAATGAAAAACCTCTCAATTCAAAAACTACGGTGCTAAAACTCAGATCTGTAATGTCATAGGGTATAAAGTCTGGAGCTGCTCCATAGACAATAAATGGTGAAAGATGTTCTAGATGACACTAAGAGCATCCAGGGGAATGTTCTGGGTATATGGGTTCATTTGCTGACAACACTAAGAGAATAAAGCTCACTTGAGTATAAAAAAAGAAAACAAACTTTCTCTTGGTCCACAAATCAGTCTCCTAATCATTGTCTATGGAGCATCTCCAGACTATACCCTATGACATTACAAGTTTGAGACTTACGTCTCTGGGCCCGTATTCACAAAGAATCCTAAGACTAAAAGTAGCTCTTAGTGATGTTATTCTAAGAAAAATCTTAGAATTCCTCGAATTCTAAGATTTTTCTTAGAATTTTCCCTTGGTAAGATAAAAGTTATTCACAAAGCATCTTAGGCCTTAAGAGAGCTCCTAAGGTGAAAACTGTTTAGAGGAGGGAGGAGGACTTTTAAGAAGCCTAAGAATGTCTTAAACAGAGAAGATGGCATTAAGACATAGAGGAAGGAGAGATATTCTCAGTATATTTAACGACAGTGATTTAAGAGGACGCTACCGGCTTGATAGTGCAGGGATAATGTTTGTGGTTGACCTCATCAGGGATGAGCTTACTTTTCCCACCCAGCGTAGTAACGCAATAACGCCCGCTTTGGATTGCAGCACGTACCAGCGCTTCTCACGCTCATCGCTTGTGCGTAAAAGGAGAGGGAACGACACATTGATTTGTCGGGCAGTATGCTCCCAAGTCTACCTCTTCCCTTGTGCCGTGATCCTGGGACCGAATTTCCCTCTTAAAACTCCTTTGTTCTCCTCCACGAGCTGTGCCAACAGCAAACACTGCTCTTCTGTCCAGTTCGGCTTTCTCGCTCTTTTTCCTCCATTTCATTCATTGATTTGGTCATTCTGCCAAATCAAACCGCTTTCAGCAATCACAGTAATTGCTGACAGCTGAGTCTGCGTCCACCATTAATATCAAATAGATTAAGTAGTAAAATTACCAGCATGGCGAGTAAACATAACAATAAGCAAATCAATATAATAATCGGCATGTTAATGAGGTACGTTCAAACATTTTGAAGCTGTGTAACAATTAATTTAATTTTGCTGAGTTTCATCATCATGACCTAAAATTATTTTCATGATTACACATTTCTTAATAGCCTACAGTCTAAGTTCTATGATCGGTTGATTTCACTGTCCATTCATTACTAGGAGCGCATTTTTTTTCTTTTTGTAACAACCAATCACAGCTTTTAGAAGACTGCCTCAAACCTAGCAACGGGGTCAACCACACCTCCTCACTAAGATAAAAGTTTCTGTCCCCTTCTTGCTCAGAGTTGCTCTCAGAAATTTCCTGAATCACTCTTAAGCTAAGATTCCTTGCTAGGAATTTTTAGGCTAAGTTAGGAGCTCTCTGAGAGGACTCTGAGAATCTTTGTGAATAGGGGCCCTGGTTTCTGGCTTTGAATAAGAGTAGCCCATGTTCACAAACATCGATTAAACTTTGCCAGGCAATGGAAATAACATACTGAAATTTTTAATTAAGATGGCATTCACCTTAAGGCTTGTTGTTTTCAGCTGAGACAATTTCTGAAAAACTCACGCAGTCACTGATGGTACGTATAAAACAGTCAGTAAAATAGTGTTTTTTTCAACAACTGTGAATCCCTGCAACCACAAGAGGTTCTTGAGCATTCAGTTATGAATGAACACACAAAATAATAGGCTGACTGGTTCAGTAGTTTGCAAGATTACCTGCGGACAGATACACACATACACACACACACACACACACACACACACACACATCCCTCTAAAATGAAAAAAAAAACATTTCATTTTATATTTACATTTTCGTGTGATTAAAAAAAAGTAAAATGGGATCCAAGGTGAATTACAGCTTGCCTTAAAGGAATACCTGTGGATGTTTTAATCAAAATATCTGGGTCCAGGCCCTGTAATAACTCTTCTTCTCTGGCATTTTAACAGATAGGAACAGATGAAGAAAAAGTCTTTGTTTAGCAATGCCTGGCTTGTCTGAGTTACTGCATCTTTCTCCTTATTACCCATAAGACCTTCCATTTGAGGGTAGTTTACTGCAGTCGGTTTGGATTCCATTCTCACTCTTTAACAACTTGTACCACAGCACTCTTGGCAGAGGACTGACAGGCATTACAATGTGTTTATTTGCTGCTGCCATGTTCCAGCAGCACTGTTCACACCAAATGACCCAAAGAAAGTGAGGATATACACCAGAGGTAAAAATAAATAAATACATTTAAAAAAGCACTCATGGTGAAAGAATGTGAACCTGCACTGACTAACACCATTGGCTGTTTTTAGCCAACTGTTGAGCTGAAACAGTGGATCTTCAACAAAGTGACCAGAGTGCAGGTTACATTCCCTCACAGCCTTGTTAAAATATCAACCTAATGCCATTGTGTCACACAAACCAAAGCTTGTTACTATGGCAGTAAATTATGGCACCTAACCTCCAATAGCCCTACCAACCACAAACAAACCCAGAGAGTGAGCTCACAGTCCTTTAGCAACAGTGGATCTACAGTAACAGCTGTGCTGGTAAAATCAGTCTTGGATGTGGATCCATATTCAGTGAAACATTACAAAATGGGATTTCAATCAAAATCTGTATATGAGATTCTGCTGAGGGCCCTGCTAAAATACATGAATGCCTGAATGAGAGCAGGTAAGAGAACTTATATCTTTGTGGGAGAGTTGCTGAAAGGCACTGTAATGAACTGTAACCCTAGCCCAAACCACACACATGCTTTCTGTTAAAATGCTGTTGATAACACTGCTTGTCCAAGTCACTGAAACTAAATGGCCAAATCCCCTCCAGAAGTGTGTGCCTTCTGTTTTTCTTTAAAATGTGTCTGGCCATTAAAATGGGCCGTAAAAAGTACTAGCTGTGTGAACTGGTGAGCAGTGTTGTCCCAGGACAGAAGGAAACCCCTATCCTCTTTGATTAAACACATTATTTGATTATTCCCCAATCAGTCAATGAATCAATCCAATACTATACTGATAGTGTGACTAACTCTGTTTGATTGTTGCAGGGAGTTTGGTGACAATGCCTGCTGCTGGTCAGAAAAAAATGTTTTTCCTTTTGCCTTTTTGAAAAAGGTGTTTAGTTTTTAGAGTTTAAAAACTAAGATAATTAAATGAGATGAACTTCATTGATCTTACACAGGAAAAGGACTTGACAACCAGCAGGGCATGTAAAAACAGAGATTACTGTCCAGCATTACCAGCAATAAATGCACCTTATTCAAAAATTAACAGCATGCTAACATGCCCACATGCTGTAATGGTAAAAAATTATACCGCTTTACATCGGCGTGCGAGTATTGTCATTGTGAGCATGTTACCATCCTGACGTTAGCATTTAGCTCAAATACCGCAGTCATGGCTGTACAATTTCTGTGTTGTTATGATCTGTGCAGCTCCATTAATTTGTTTCTTGTTGTGTTTTCAGATGTTTATATATTATTATTTATTTATTTCAGAATTCAGCATACACATTTGTAGCTTTCAATTAGTTTAACTTTTTGTCAGTAAGTAAGAATGTACAATGTTACACACTGCAGGTAGCAACTTCTTTTATATAAATTCAGTTCAATTCATTTTATTTATAAAGCCAAATATCACAAATCACAATTTGCCTCAGAGGGCTTTACAGCATATGACATCCCTCTGTCCTTTGGACCCTCACAGCAGATAAGGAAAAACTCCCCCCCACAAAAAACATTTAACAGGGGGAAAAAAATGGTAGAAACCTCAGGAAGAGCAACTGAGGAGGGATCCCTCTTCCAGGACGGACAGAGGTGCAATAAAGCGATAAAGTCTGTATAGGGAGGGTGGTAGGAGTGGTGGATGGGTCAATCAAACTCCACACTTTCACATGAGAGTCTGCCATTCGGTGTGAATTTTAAGCCAAACCATAATGGTCTTTCTAAACCTAAGTTTATTTTGAAAAAGACTTGCATGTAACGCGTAAATTGACACCCCGACCGTAACATTCAAAACTGACGCAGGAGGTAGTTAACGTGTCATATTTAGACGTGTAGGCCCACTGACAAAACTGAAGTATTTGACAAGTTGGGATGAGAACATGTTGTTTGTGCACAAATCAGGCGGCAACCTCCAGGGCTGAAAATGAAGCCAACAGGGTAGTGCCAAAATCTGCAATTCCTTACATGGCCACTTGAGGCTCACTCCAAGAGCAAGTCAATGCCCGTAGACCTCCATATTAAAATGCCCAACTTTACAGCAGAAATATACATGCTTATAGCCTGGTACAAAAACAGCTCTGGTCTTTATAGCTAATTACCACCGGGTCGCTATGAGCAAGGCTGTATGCTGACAGTGTCCTCTGCTTCTCAGTCAGTCAAGTCCACAAACCAGTGGGTGACGCCATGGTATTTATGTCCATTATTTTTACCATCTATGGCTTAAAACCTAACCACACACTAACCACAGCATTGTAACAAAATAAAACTTAAACATAAGAAATGTAAAGTTTCAATATATATGCTACATATGAAACATACAGATTAACATATCCTTGGTTTGCATAAATGTACAATGCCAACATTAATTCTGGCAGGTAGTGGGGTTGTCAGAGGGGTAGCGTCTGCACTATAAGCCTTAACTGAGGCATTTCAGAATTACTGCACCATTGTTTTTAATAAGATCATTCATTACTAATGAGTACTGTATGTTGTGTGAAGTTGTAGAGATGGTTTTACAGAATACAAACATAGTGAATGACTTTTATTACATAATGCCAGTGAGAAATGGTATTTGTTTTGATGAAAATGCAAAAAAAGCTGTTCCTAAACAAAACCAGATATAAATGTGTTGTTCTCATGGTATGCACACAAGACAACACACAGCAAGCTACATATGGCAAATGTCCTCCAGTCTGTACATGCCGTCTACAATCAAGGCCTCATTTACCCCCAGTAACCTCCTCAATCCAGACTGTGTTCACTAACCTCAGAATTATGTGGTGTGTGGAATTTATTTTCTAAGTCCGTTTTTCTTTCTTTTTTAAAACAGCCATCCACTTCTTATAGGAAAACTAAGATAATCAGTTCCTGCAGTTGCACTGTGGTGTGTAAGTCCAAGCTCTTCCCTTAGCCAAATATACTGTAAACTGCATTTGTCATAAAGCTGTGGTAGTCCTGCAAGCTGCCCAGAGTGCAAAAATACAACTAGTATGGTGTTACTGTAACATGACAAAAGCACAAGTGTTTATTTTAGATTTTTATATGAGATGTGAGCATTTATCATTCAATTTCAAAAACACTTTATAAAACATATATATGGTGACTATACTTCAACTTGAAGCTTCAATAGCAGAAAGAAGGCAGGAAGTAAGATGGCAACCAGTTTCCCAAAGGACAGACTGAAGCTGGGGAGAAATTGTGGTTCATCGTCAGCTTACAACCATGAGCATGTTACCTATGGGTGGGAATCAACAGAGGACTCAATATAGGATATTATCACGATGCTTAGGTCACAATTCGATATTATTGCAATATTGCGATATGCTGAGTATTGCGATAAAATCTATGGCAATATAATGAGGTTTATCACCTTTTTTTTTTTTTACCAATTTCCCCCAAAGGAAAACTTTGTAAACATCAGTTCTATTTCATCCCTGCTGACCGCCAGAGCACTGAATATTCCCCTTCGCGCATGCGCAGTATACCAACAATGTCACCTGTGACCCCTGGATGACCCGATAATCTTCCGGTAACATCAGAGGATAATTTCCTTGTCATCTTCTCGCACGCAGGTTGCTTTTGGAAGCATTGAACTGCATTTCAAACCTATATCCCGTCGCTAGTAGTTCCATGGCCATGTCGTCAGAGCAGCAGGACCACACTGCCAACGAAGTGCTGCGAAGCGCAATGCACCGAAATTCTCACGCGAGCCCATTCACATCAGACGCGCATTTCTCCACGCAGGTCGACAAGCACTTCTGCTCCCAGCTGTTGTCTCCGTCACATTTGGGGCTGTTTTTCCATCATGGGTATCTCTCTCTGTTTGCGTGTGTGTGCCCCAACCCCCACCCCCTATAGCCGGTCCACACTCGAAGTGAAGCCAGTTTCCTTTCGGCGCCCATGTTAACCGATTGTGTCATCCACACCAGCCGCGCCGCGCAGCTCCGCTGCCAGCCCTGCAGCGATCATTTCGGCGTCTGGTCTATTTTCTGCACGAGCCGCGAGCGAATGTGTCAAGCCGGGCAGTTACCCATGATGGAAAAACAACAGCTGGGAGCAGAATCGCTTGTCGACCAGCGGGGAGAAATTCGCGTCTGATGTAAACGGAGGTGCTCCGGCTCGCGCGAGAATTTCAGTGGGCTGTGCTTCGCAGGCAGTGTGGCCCTGGCATAATATGTATAGCCTATATTCCTGCCCAGCTTGACACATTTGCTCGCGGCTTGCACAGAAAATAGACCAGACGCCGCAACAGTCGCTGCAGCGCCGGCAGCGGATGACACAATCGGTTAACATGGGCACCGAAAAGAAATTGGCTTCGCTTCTCGGCACTTCGAGGCTATTTGCAGCGCTTCCACGTCAGGTGTGGCCCTGGCACCCTCCAGGAGCTGCGACGGCATTCTTTCCCTCTTGAGAGGAGTTGTTAAACCACGTTTGATGGACGCGGTGCCTCTTTTTGCCAATAAGGCAGTGTTTCACTTCCCTCTCCAGAGAAGGTATGTAACTCCTAAATTGTTTGCAAACTAATGTTATATTACCTACTTTGTTAAAGACTTGTTGGTGAAAGTTGCGTTTCTGCAACATCTTCCTGAAGAAGCTGAAGTTAGCTTCTGATTCACCAGCTTCCGTTTCGGCACTTAAGGAGAAAGTTAAGGGGAAATTGACTTAATGTGCAGTGCGACTGTTTGTCTGTTTTTTTGTGACACTTCTTGATGTGAAAACATTTTAAACATTTTAGGTAAGACATTAACTTTGCCTGACACCCACTATTGTATTTGTGAAACATTTATTTTATTTGTGAAAATGCTAAAGGGGAGATTTCACCGTTTTTGTTTTATACCTACACCTCATTAGACCAGGTCCAGATCAAAAACCACTGTACCTAGACTTCTCAAATCTGGCCTAGATTATCCTACAGAAGCTAAACATTCATTCAGGCACAGTTTCTGATTTGTGAAACCTTTACTCGATTTGTGAAAATGCAATAAAGACACATTTCACCATTTTTTCAGAATATAGACCACTTTGGACCAGGTCCAGATCAAAAACCACTGTACCTAGACTTCTCAAATCTGGCCTAGATTTGATGCTGCCTGCTAAGAATCCAGACTGTCATCGCATTTTTTTTCTCAAGAGACGCAGGTGTCAAAGCCGTGTTGACAGGAAAGAGGCAAAGGAGAAAACAGCAAAATCACCTGGGGCAGTGCGGGCGGGGCATCAAGGCCACTGTGGCCTTAGGGCAGATATTTTTTTCAAGGGCACAGGGCCAAATGAGGAGGCCATGGCCCTCATGGCCCTTGTGAAATTCCTGCCCTGGCTGGTAGTACGTGTTCCCTCCCTCCAGCATACGGTTTCTATACTCCAGCTACCCGCAGCGTTCACGCTTAGGGCTCCCACTCCTCAGCGCAGAGTTCACTGGCCAAGAAGGAAGACAGCTCCATGCGTGATATTGTGCGCATGGTCCTAGATCAGAGCGAACCCTAGGTGGGCCACGTGGGACAGGCCGCATTCCTCCTAGCCATTCCCTCGGCGAAGCATGTCAGTGAGCTGCACGCTCTGTCTGTCAGTGACTCATGTCTGAGGTGGAACTCAGATGGATCAGGGGTCACTCTGTGGCCGAACCCAGCATTCCTCCCTAAGGTGCTCTCACGCTCGCACCTCAACCAGCCTATAAGGCTTGCACAGTTTGACCCTCTGTCAGGAGAGAGGGGTGACAAGTCGGAACTGTTGTGCTCACTGTGGGCCCTAAGAGCATATATTGCAGCTACCACAGGTATTCGACGGTCGGAACAGCTCTTCCTCTGCTATGGTGGCCCTACCAAGGGTTGCGCTCTCTCTAAACAGCATCTGTCACACTGGATTGTGGATGTCATCCGCAATGCATATGGGGCGAGTAACTGTCCCGTGCCATTCGGTGTGAGGTGCCACTCTACCAGGAGTGTCTCCACATCTTGGTCGTCCCTGAGAGGAGTATCCCTGGAGGACATTTGTGCTGCTGCCTCATGGGCAGGACGTGGTCCTGTTACCGGAATCCTTTAATTCTACTCATTGAGGTTTGCACCGCCTCTGGTGGTCAGCAGGGATGAAATAGAATGAAAGTTACGAATGTAACTACGGTCCTATGAATCCCGAATGACCACCAGAACTCTGTCACTCAGAATCCTCGTGTTCTCGCGAGAAGATTCTGTAGGAAATTATCCTCTGATGTCACCAGAAGATATAGTCTCCTTTGGGTCATCCAGGGGTCACAGGTGACATTGTTGGTATGTTGAACTGCGCATGCGCAAAGGGGAATATTCAGTGCTTAAAGTACCGCCTCTGGCAGTCATTCGGGATTCATAGAATCGTAGTTACATTTGTAACTTTTGTTTTACCTCATAAAATAAATTCCTCTTTGCCACCAACTGAGACCTCTGCTGACCTCAACAGGGGAAAAAACCTCAGTACCATTTAGAGGACAGCAAAAGCAACTGATTTTATTATTCTACTACCAAATGTTGTATTAAAATCTGTATTTGCAAAAATGAATCATTCATACAATACAATATTGCCACATCAACACATCTCAGTATTAATATACTACTGATAGGACTGAGGTTTGATGAAAATGATAATGATGTGAATCATATCCGCTACTAACCCATCCCAAACACCTAGTGAAACACCTCTTGGAGATTTTAAGTTAGACAGCAGTCTCTACCACCATCAGCATTAAAACACCAAATCAGGAAATACCTTTTGGAGGAATGCGCTTCTTATGACAAACAGTTGTGGAGGCTCATGGAGACATGTTACTAAGATGCTATTCTGGTTTTCTGTTCCTTTCATCTTTTGTCACCCATCTGCAAGTTCTGCAGATGGATCAGACCATGTGCTTAACATATTACTTGAACATATTGAATCCAATGCAAATCCTGGTTTCACTTAGTGGATTCAAACAACAGAGACAGTTTCTTTAGGAATGTTTTAACTCCATAACAATGAATTCAATGCAGATTCTGAAGAGATACTTTGAAGAGTTTTTTTGTTATGTAATATATTCAGCCCATATTATAAAAAATCTAGCAAAGCAGGGAGCGTCCATTTATAAAATATCTATCTATAATATCTGTAGCTTTGAAATCCACACCAAGGCCTATAAAACTGTGAGCATTCAACAATGCAAACAAAGTCATAAAATTGTATTGTAAGTCATGCAGTTTTGCTTACTGACTACAATGACTGTACACCATCTGTCTTTGCAGTAAAACATGCTGGATGTATGATGAATGGCAGGAGGAAACATCAAGCAGAGTGCGGTGCAGGTGAAAGCATGAATGTCCACAGGGAACAGAAGAGGGACTTTCAGTCTAAAGCCTTTCATGAAAGCACAGTGTTCACTTTGCTTCCACCAAGACCACATTCCTATGGAGACGCATGCCTTTCCTCCAGAGGCTCTGAGCTGCTGGGCCTGCAAGGTGACTACATGCTGCCTGTCACTGTATCCTCAGAACACATGACATAGCATGCAGTTTTGTAATGGCATAATGTTGTGGCATGCCATTTCATGTTGTGTCATTCATTTATAGTCTTGTCATCTGAAGCTGTGCTTTTTAAATGTATGTCGTGTCACAGCCCAGTCCCCAGAAGAAAATGTTGGCATGTATGTTACTGGAAACGACATTTGTACTTTTCAATATTTCTAAAGTGACGCAGTATATGAGCTGACTTTGCCACTGGGAGATGGAGGGGATGGTGGATGGCATAAATAAATAAATACACAAATACACGCTCCCTGTATATAGAATACACAGTCACCATAAAAACTGTTGGCATTGTACATTTCTGTAAACCACAGATACATAACATTTATCGTCAATGCTGTGCTTAATGTATGGTTAGGTTTAAGCACAAAAACCTTAGAAAAGATTATGTTTTGTCTTGAAATACCCATGTTTGGTGGCACAATAGTTGCTGTAAAAGCAGGGACAAAAAATAAATAAAAAAAAAACCTGGGATGGAGTGCTCAAACGATGCTGGGAAACTAAGCTAACTGTGGGGACTGTGTATTTCTTGAGAAACGGGGAGCAATGGATGTTTGTTTTTAGGTTAACAGGCTATCCCAGACATGGGCTTTGGTCCAGTAGGACATTTTTCAGACTAATAGGGCTTCGGAACTATGGGTCATCTGAACAATGGCATGGCACTGTTCTAGCAGGGATTGTGTGTTGTAAACCTAAACACGATCTTTTCCTAACCTTGTGGTTTTTGTGCCCAAACTTAACCACGTATTCACCACGGCGTTGTTTAAACATGAAGTTTCAATGTATCCCCTACATGAAAATCTAACATATCTGTGGTTTGCAGAAACGTACAATGGCAACAGTTTTTTCGAGTGGCTAGGTAGCATGTCATGTTAGAATTTGTTGTTGTGTACTACTATTTCCTGCCATTTCATTTCATGTTGTGCGACTTTATGACCTGTTGATGAATTTCAAGTTGTGTTACTACATTTTTTTTTGTTTCATGTCATTTATGTTTTGTTGTGTTGTGTTATTTTTAGTCATGTCGATAAAAGGCTTATCTTACACTGTAAAAATGACAACACAGGATGCAGTGCAGTAAACACAAACAAGAGACGTACTATTAAAATGACAAAAAGGTTGCACACTGTAAACAAAGACAAGACAAGACAAAATAACAAAGCATGGACTGTGAAAAAGACAATCCTTATAATCGTTTTCACAGCACATCCTTTTTAACAATTTTTACAGTGTATCTCCTGGATGTCTCCCTGGGCTTCACTTTCTACAGTGCTTTCTATGTTGTAATTTTTTACAGTGCAATCTTTTTTTCTTTTTATTTATTTATTTGCATTTTATCTCCTAAATATCTTCCTGGGCTTCACTTTTTTACAGTGAATCCCTTGTTGTCAGTTTTTTTACAGTGTATCTCATCTCATTTTAAGCTGTATAATTTAATTTTGTGTACTTTAATTTTATGCTGTGTTGCGTTGTGTTAAGTTGTGTTACGTATTTTCAAGTCTTGCCATTAGGTTTAGTATCATGTCAGTAATGCTGTGTCACTTATTTTTGTGTTATATTGTGTCACATTATTTGGTGAAATGTCATGTCATTTTGTGTTATTTCCCACCACATCCTGTGGTAACCTCTTGTCATTTCATCTTCACATGTTCATGCTGTCAGTATTACCCCTGCTGGTTTTAGAGCTAAATATATATCAGTATACAAAACAATCAATATTGTACTCATGGTATCATTATTCCTGTAATAGTGCAGGGACTCTGCTGTCACCTTCAGCAGAAGCCCAGCAGTGGAAGGGTGACACAAAGGGTGACACCACAGAGCAGAGGGGGAGGAGGGGGGAGCCTGACGCTACTAAGCAGACTCAAGGGAAGGCCGCAGAGCAGAGCAAAACCAGCACTGAGGACCAGTACTGGGAGCAGACCTGAGATAAGTCCAGAGGGTGAAGCTCCCACTGTGTGTCATTGCAGAGATCCAGTCAGTCAAACAGCAGGTGAATAAATCACACGTTTACATATCCATATATTCATGTATCCGCTGCTAATCAAGCCAAATAAAACCTGCATTATAGCTGTATAAATAGACATCTGTGGACTTACCCAGTGCTGTATCTTCAGCCTATCATTGCCAGCTTTCAGTGAGGATCAAATCCCGGCCACACATTTTTCTCTTTATTTTGGCTTTCTGTCCCCACTATATCATGCCCCAAAATATTGCTTTTTGAAAATGTCAGCCTGTTTCACTTTAGTGTTATGATTTTCATTATATACACAAAGACATAAAAACAATACATAGCAATAAACACTGGCAACAAAGACACACACCACAGACACATTTCATTTTGTCAAAGTATTTCATGATCATAAAATAGGGATTTAATGTCTCAGTTCAACAGCAAATGAGTCGCTGTTAGTCTTGGTTAACATGTAGTATTTGTGAGTCAAAATAAAATCTCTGTTTTATGCTAATTTAGTTGATCAACAACAGAAATAGATAACTGTGTAAATGAGATCACTTAAATCATGAGTCCAGCTGTATTAAGCACAGTCTAGGTGTTGGTAGGAAGCAGGAGGGAACACATGGTTGATTAATTTGCTGAGACTCAGCAGAGAAACCAGACTGTCAGACTGTTTTTTTCTATTGTTAAGGCATTTCAGTATGGATGGAGATTTTTTATAAGAACAACCTGAAAACACTAGTGCACATAATGTATGTGTTTTTTTTTTTAAGGTTATTCTGTCTCTCTGTCCCTCCACTCCTGCTACATTCCCTGTTCCTCAACACCCTTTATTTTTTCATTTTTGTATTTTCGACCTTATCACCAGAATTTGATTTATTTTTATTTAACCCATTTTTACCCAGGTTAGTCCCACTGAGATCAGTAATCTCTTTTTCAAGGGAGACCAGGCCAAGATGGCAGCATAAAAATTAGAACACAACAATGAACAGCAAGGACATAAAAAACACAAACATAAAACATAAAACAGAATAAATGTTACGTTTCCGCAAACCACTGATACATTACATTTACATGTGATTATATAGAGATAAGCTGAAACTATATGTTTCAACAACACTGTGGGTAATACGTGGTAAAGTTTAGGCACAAAAAACACTTAGTTATAATTAAAAAAACATCATGTCTTGGCTTAAAATACCCACACTGGGGGGCACAATTCCTGCTGAAAGAGCAGCAGTGTCTCTGTAAAAGAACACTTTCCATTGCACTATCCCCGCTGGATAAACATCAGCAGGTCACTAAAAAACGCAGTGATGACTTGCTAAAACAGAACCTGTTTTGTTGATCTCAAATAGTGGTCTGCAGGCATCTCACCTAGGTGGCACACTATCAACCTTCCCCTCCATCTCATGATGACAAGTTAGCTCATATACTACGCCACTTTAGAAATGTTTATAGGATATGAATGAATTGTGCAAATCTAACATATTTGTACAGAAGGGCCCTTCTTTGCGGAGTTTGCATGTTCTCCTCACGTCAGCATGGGTTTTCTCAAGGTGTTCCAGCTCCTTCCCACAGTCCAAAGACATGCAGGCTGATTGGTGACGCTATGTTGCCCATAGGTGTGAATGTGTGCCCGAATGGTTGTCTGTCTCTATGTGTCAGGCCTGTGATAGTCTGGCGATCTGTCCAGTGTGTACCCCTTCTCTTGCCAAGTGTCAACCGGGATAGGCTCCAGCCCCCCCGCAACCCCTAACAGGTTGAGTGATTTCGAAAATGAATTTGAATGTTTCTTTAAAATTTAAATGTTTCTTTAAAATGTTGGCATTGCGCGCGTCTGCAAATGATAAATTCATTTGCAGACGCGCACAATGCCAACATTTTATTCTAGAGACTGGCTGGTCATTTTCCATCCATCACCCTCGGATTTTCCTTCCCTTCTCCATCACCTGACTGCCCCACCAATTTAATCACTTGACAATCCAATGCTTTTTAATCAAAATAATTGTATAATAAGTGCTTGAGGACCCACTGTACTTTTGAGCAACAAGAGTTATCAGAAATCAGTCAGAATCGTTCTAAATCAAAGTCATTAATTGTTGATATTGTGCTGTGATTTTGCAGTGTGTTCACAGGAGTCCACTCCTCAGGGTGTAAGACCATCTAAAACATTATTTAGACATCATATGAAGCTAAAACTCTCAAGTGAAAGCATGGAAACAAAATGAATCCATGATACCAGAGGAATCTGATCTAAATTTCTTATTAGAAAAAGCTTTCATCAAGATCTGATTTTTGATTTGAAAAAAATATATATCATCTTTCTAACTGTATCTGGTATTAATATGGACTCTTACATTTCATAATGGGGACTAAAGCTGCTGTTTACTCACACTGCTAACCACTTGAAAGGTCTTTTGATCAGCACACACACATAAACACAACAGCTTCCATCTGCCTGTAAATCTCTATAATCATATCCAGACAACATGCATATATGACTTCTTCTTCTGGCTTAGGGGCGGGAGCAGCTGTACTTATTTCTGGTGACTCAAACAAATAACCCAATTTCATTGCCAATTGACATGACAGTTTCTGTGTATTGCATTCTTGTTGTATTATTTGTACTGAAGGCAGAGTATGTTTTTGCTGCAGTTTGGGTAATTGCCTTTGGATATCCTCTGAAGCACACACAGTTTTTCAGATGTGTCTAATCCATCAGCCAGCCACAGATCATAGTGTCTGAACCATTGGCAAGCAGTGAATGACATCTGCAGCATGAATGTGACTGAATTTAAAGCTGCGTCTGACTGTGACAGACTCTTTGAAACGTTCTCTCCTCCCAGAAACTCCCACAACCCCCTGCAACAACAACGAGAGGCAGGCTTGTCACGGGCATCCCGGCGCCACAAAGGTTTCAGTGCTCCATCTGTATCTGCCTTCATCACTCTGTGATGATGAGGAGCAGGACGTTGAGGCACAGGAGATGAGGTATGAGTTCTTGGTAGTGGTATTTGGGGTGTGGAGGCCGTGGCGAGTCATAGCAGAGCAGCCATCTGCTTCATTTTCATGAACTGCTCCTTGGTAATATCTTCCACGTCACATCTGTGGTTTTCACCCTCCTTTCGAGAATCTGGAACAGAGCTCTGAAACAGGTCTCATAAGTGATGTCAGTTGGAGGGTGGGGAGACAAAAAATATTTTCCCAAGCAATTAGAACAACTGGAGTGCATGTAAAGGAATGCCCACTGGGTCTAAATGGGATTTGTTATATTCATTTTGCAACAATTGAGCCAAAGAGTATGAAGTTACAGGATGCTCTGTAAAAAATAGTCTTGGAAAATATCAGTGTAGAAATGGATAAAGACCAACCCAGTTGACAGAAAAAAAAAAGTTGGCATTTCTGCAAACCATAAATACATTACATTCACACGTTATTCTGTGACTGATAAGTTTCCACTACACTTAAGCCTAGTTCACATTACACGATTTTCTCCCTGATTTTGCGTCGCAGAGACTATCGTAATCTTTTGAGCGCTCATACCTGGCGACGTGTGTTTCTGTCAGCGTGAGTCTCACCAACTGCGTTACGACCTGTGTGTGCACGCCACAAGATTTCTCCACTGATCCCTCGCCGACAGAGCCCCAGATAATGCGGTGACGTCACCAAACTACATTTAAAACTTAGAGACGACACATCATAAAGGCATGGATATTCTTCCCAGTGTTGAATCAGATCTGCCTCCAGGGCCTGGCTCCAAACACAACGCGCTCCCTGTGACCCTGTGGACGCCGCCATTGTTGTTGTTCGAGTGTTGCCAGATCTTGAGAGAGAAACAAGCAACCAGGGCTATGGAAACAAGCCCAAAAGAAGCAACTATCATGCGTTTTTAAATAACTTATTAGATGGATATATATATAGAGAAAGGGGATGTTTAAAGAGCAAGCCCAAATAAGCAACTCCACTTTAGAAACAAGCCCAAAGTTGCGGCTAATAAGCGGACCTGGCAAGTGGCAACCCTGCGGCTTGTCATGTCAGACATCTCCAGTTTTCTAGCATGCCAGATATCCAGTCCCAGTCACAGACGAGGGGACAACTTGCTCGTAGGATTGTTCACACATGAGGACTCATTGTGGCAGACTATCTGCTGACTCACCTCTGACCCAAGGTGGCTCTCAAGATCCTCTGCGACGTCAAAATCACAGTGAAAATCGTGACATGTGAACTAGGCTTTAGTTGAATATGTGTTGAGGTTAAGGCACAAAAAACACTTGGTTATGGTTAGGAAAAGATTATGTTTTGGCTTAAAATACTTGGTTTGTGGGGCACAATCACCACTGAAGAGCAGCTTTGTCTCAGTAAAAAAACAACCACTTTTTGTGCCTAAAAAGCCACTGGAAAAACACTGATGCCCACTACAAAACACCCATGTTTGGTGCCTTAAAAGCTGCTGGAGAAATTGCGATGGTCACTACAAAATACCCATGTTTGATGCTTAAAAGCCACTGGAAAAGCAGCAATGTCTCAGTAAAAAAACAACCACCTGTTGTGACTAAAAAGTAGCTGGAAAAACAGCAACACTTGCTGTAAAACACCCACATTTGGTGCCTAAAAAGTTGCTGGAAAAACAGTAATGACCCCCTAAATCACAACCACTTTTGTTTGTTAGTCAAAAAACGGTGTTCTACAGCTTGGCAGGCATCTCACCATGGTATCTCACCATCCACCGTCCCCTCCACCTCCAGACGACAAAGTCAGCTCTTATACTAGATGACTTAGAAATGTTGATATGATTCTTATGAAACGTGGTAGAGGGTCAGCCCAATAAATCTTAAATGGTTTTAACACCTTGTTAAAGCTGCACTAATCAATAGTTTCATATGTGCACAATATTAAAAGACAAAAACAAATGTCTTAAGCCCTGCTAGTTGTCCTTACAGCTACACAGTGCTTTATACATGACATTAAGAAAGTAGTGTAGAATATTAAAGACATGATAATTAAATATTTTCATGTTATGATTTGCCTTAAGGTGGCACCAGAGTAAAGGCCACTGGGTCATGTATGAATGTGCTCCGTCATTTTGACTGCAATCTACATTTTAGATAATGGGAAAACTTGAGTACAAGTGTAAAAATTGGCTCAATGCTAGAGCTATAGGTGGTGCCAGAGGAAGGTCAGAGGCTCATTAGAAACCATTAGGATTATCATGTGGGAGCATGAATAGTCACAGCTGTTTGATAACAATCTGCCTATTTTTCAAGATAACGATAAATAAAAATCACTCCATAGTTTCTGGGACACCTTGCTATAAATGCAAATGCTGGATAGAGGCAGATAAGCAGATAAACAGGCTTACTGACATGACAACCATAAGGCTCTGCCGTGAACAGAATACAAAGGTTGTAGTCATGGCAGTTACTATCACTGAGGATGCCAAGGACATGTCATTTCTTTATATTTCTGCTCTAAGTTTAGAAGTGTAACACTTTTCATGAGCAATTTATGTTCTGTTGTTTAAACTTGTATAGTACACTTAACATTCTAAAGGCTCCAAGGGTCCTTTTGCTATAGTATAGCAGTGATGTTGCAGGGTACATTTCCTGTGTCCCTGAGGCATTGAAATCTGAAAGCAAGCAGTAAACTCACTATAAACATGTCCAAAGGACACATCCTATTTTTTTTCCCCCTCAATGATGCTACATTAAAAAAACAACTCCCAAATGTGCTTGAAATCACAACAGTGGCGTCATCTGGCTTTACTTATTCTTTCTCATGTCACAGAAATCGCAGAGTGAAACTTGTGTTATGGATGTTATTACCATACTGTCCTTGATATGTCTGTGTTTTTTTCTGGTGATCTGCACAGATCTGACACCAGCCTGTCCTCACCCCACCTTCTCTGAAGCTCTGTGCGTCACTGTTGCCCGGCAAAGATGACATGTCATTGGCAAAACACGGAGGTCCCCAGGGATCCGTGCCTTTCCTGTGTCTGCCCCCAAACAGTGAAACAGCATTCCCCCCACAATCCACCCTCTCAATTGACTCTTTTAAGTCCAGGCACAAAAACCTACTTTTATTCATTAGCGCTCAAGTCCCCCTGATGTGGCTTTCTCTGACACAAGCCTATGTGTGTTGTATCTATAAATGTGTGAGCTGTGTACCTGACAGTTATGTTGCCTCTCGTGTATGTGTTTTTCACATTTTATTCCTTTTGTACAGCACTTTGGTTGAATTGAGTTGAGTTGAGTTAAGTTGCCCTGTTTCCTTTTCTGATAATCCTTCATTGTGATACTGTGATTCCGCCACTGATCCATATTACATTGACTAGTGTCAATGATGATCCGATGATGTTTTACTGTCCAGGGGACACACCGTGTTGAAGAAATATTTTCACTGGTGGCTGTCATTTTCCTACCCTCTACACAGGTAATATCTTGTACAGGACAAGATCCTGTTTTTTATAGTCTCAATGTGTGAAAGGAAAACATAAAAACTTTTCTCTCAAAGTGTTTGGCTATTAAATTGATACATAATAATAGCTTATCAAAATTGTGATGGATTATCACATTATATCACAATCATATATCACATTTGATTTATTTGATGCTCAATGATTTTGGTGGTCTCTACATTCAACTCAAGATGTGATATTTGTATAATGTTTTTTACACAGACTGTAAATCAAGAATCATAATTACACAGTGGTCAGATTTAGGATTTTATTTGTTTAATTTTCAGATACATTTTTGTCATACATGACCATAATTAGAACCATATAACCTCAAATGTGAGAGTAACACTACAATATATATTTGAAAAACCCCACAAATTTTATTAGAAATTCACTCAAATGGGCCTGAAGGGCTGAAACCCTATTGTTGTTGTGCTGTTTTCAATCAATCAATATTATTATTATTATTATTATTATTATTATTAGGGGTTCAAGCCTGAAGGGCTGAAACCCTATTGTTTTTTTGTAATAATAATAATAATAATAATAGTAATTATTATTATTATTATTGTTATTAAGAAATGTTTTTGCAAATTCCCATGAGATGGTACATAGTAGAGACATGAAATGTTTACCAATGATTGGAAGTAGTGTGCAAATGCTGCTCAAGAAATATAATGCCAATAGGCCAGATGGGGGCGCTATAATAAAGGTTTGAAGACATTTTTTTGGAAGGCCACCACCCACACACCGTATGTCAGATTGACTTGAAATATGACACACATGTTCAGGCGAATGGGTTCCGCGAAAGCCTTAAGAACCCTCAAGTTTTGCCAACTAGATTGTCCGCCATATTGAATTTTTTTGAAAAACACATTTTTGACATCTCCTCCTAAGGCATGGGTCCAACTTGTACCAGACTTTCTGTGAATCATCATGGGATGAAGCTCCTTAAAGTTATCAACAGCTTTTTGATATGTCATTGTGTTTTAATGATATTGACCAATCAACTTTAGAGGGGGTGTAGCTCAGCACATTAATGGAGTTTACTCCTTAGCCATTGAGCCAATCATCACAAAACTTGTAGGAAATCTTAACACAAGTAACTGAATCATACCCTGAAGGTCTGATTCAAATTGACCAGTTGGGGGCGCTCTACATGCAGAAAGTTGATATCTCATACTCAGCTGGAGATATTTGTACAAAACTTGGTTTGCATCACTAGGGTCATGTCTCAGTCGAAGCACAAAATTTGAAAATGATTGCTTAAAGGGGATGTGGCATATTACAATAAATTGGTTTTTTTTTATTTAGAAATGTTTTCACAAATTCCTGTGAGATGGTACACTGTAGAGAGAAGAAATGTTCACAAATGATTGAAAGTTGTGTGCAAACGGTGCTCAAGAAACATAATGCCAATCAGCCACATGGGGATACTATAATTCACGTTGAAGAAATTTTGTTTTGAAAGGCCACCTCCCTCGCACCATACGTCAGATTGACTTAAAATTCGACACACATGTCCAGCTGAATATGGTGTACTAAAGCCTCAAGTATCACAAAGGTCCACCTGATTGGATTTTCTGCCATTTTGAATTTTTTGAATAAAAAGTTTTTGACATCTCCTCCTAAGCTGTAAGTCTGATTTGTGCCAAAGTGTCTGTTAATCATCATGGACCAAGCTTATCAAACGTTATCAAAAGCTTTTTGATATCTCACTGTGTTTTAATGATATTGACCAGTAAACTTTAGAGGGGCCGTGTCTCACCACATAAATGGACCTTACTCCTTAACCGTTGCGCCAATCATCACAAAAATTGAAGGACACGTCCAAAAAAGTCCTTGAATCACACCCTGAAAGTTTTCTTCAAATGAACCACTAGGAGGTGCTAGAAATGCAAAAAAGTTTATATCTTACAATCAGCTTACAGAGACTAAATTTGGTTTGCACCATCAAGGGTCATGTCTCAGTAGATGCACAAAATTTGGAAATGATTGCTCAAAAAGGGCGTGGCTTATTACAATAAATCTAAATTTAAATACATTTCACATTCCAAACTTAAAAAAATCATGCAAATCACCAGTGTTTTCTACAGAGCTGACATTTTTTCAGCACAGCCACTGAATGTTGACAAAGGTTTCCAAATCAGTCAAATCAGAAGTCCATCACTATATTTTTAAAAACATATTTGACCATATACCTGAAATCAGCAAAATGATGTGAGATTTTTTCAGAATTTTATCACCAATACTTAAACTATTATTGATATCTTATTTCATCTTGAAGATATAAACCAATAAACTTTAGAGGGACTGTAGCTCAGCACATTACTACACAACCTTTGGTCCAATCATCACAAACCTTGCAAGCAACATCTTAAGAGGTACCAGGAACATATCCTGAAATACAAATCAGACTTTAAATCAGAAATTGATATTCCAATCATCACAAAACTTGCAGGGTATATTGAATAATAACAATAAACCACGTGAATGAAATTATTTTGAAATTGGTCCATAGGGGGCACCACCAGTTCCAAACAAGTGCAATCGCCTTTCATAAAATTTGGCCATAAATTAGTGCAGGTTTGTTCAGACATCACCAAACTCGGTGGACTTTTTTTTAACTAAGCCATTAAATCATGTCAACAAAATGTTTGCCCAATAGGGATTTGGACGTAAATTAATAAGCATCTGTCTGATTGTCATAAAACCTGTTTTTTTTCTTTAATGCAGGCATCCTAGATTGTCAAAATTTTATCCAGCTTTCAAGTTTTAAAGGTCCATGCTAACTTCAACCTCAAAATTGCCACTTGGAGCTATGATTTTAGTTGTCATTTCCATTACTGCAATAACTAACAAAGGAGTCAGTCCATCCTCTGCCACACAGTGGTGGGTTGGACAAAACATCATGCTGTATGTGGTGAATATAACAGTGGCAGACGGATAAAGCAGTGACAGACAGCAGAGCATCATTGTTTTGGAATTTCACGTTTATAATGTGTTTTAAAGGAGACCTTTTTGGGGTTTTCCCTCATCTTTAGTGTGTCATATAGGCCTATTATTACACGGCTCTATTAAATGCTGTATTCTGATTGGTCAGTCGCGGCATTCAGCTGTCTGATATTACTGTGTAATGACTGTTGCTACAGTTGCTATGTAGCCCAGCGTTGCTAGGGACGCTTCCCTGCAACACTGCAGCTGTCAAACAACTTCCGAGGGAAAAACAAACAGAAGTGGCTGATTTTAACATTTCTTTTAACTTATTTGGAGAGTAGCTACAAGGATTTTGAGGAATGGGATGCCGCTGAAGAAAAAGAAATGGAGAAGGAAAGAAAAAAATCAAGCGAAAAACGGCACACGGAACTGACACCTGGAGAGCTTCAAGTGATAGAGGAGGAGAAAGATGAGATAAATACAAAAAAGACAACAAAATGGGCTACTGTACTATACTGTACTGTAGCTACTACTACTATACTGACGGACTGTCTCTGCCAAAAACAAAAGAACACGGATTTGAATACACACGGCAGTCATGCTTAATGACATTTTACGTGAGTTTTATGCCTCAGATCAGTCCACTAAGCCTGAGTGAGTACAAAACTTTCACCAAAAGTTGTCGAATCCGGTCGGTTTTAATGCACTTTGTGGAGGCAGACAACATTATTTATTTAACTGATAATTAGCCGTGTAATAAGCGCATCAGAGTTCTATTCCCCTGTCGGGAGTTATTTTCCCAGTATTTACCAGCTCATTATACATTATCCCTTACGTATTCTTCTGCCTCTATAAGGTCTGCTAAGAAAAAAAAAAAAAAAAATCCAGGCTAAAGGGACTTCTGTCTCCCCACAGACACACAGCTCCTGACCTGTCTGAAACAGCTCATTTGAATTTCCTACCTTTACCTCTGGGAGCGGTTGAGGAGACGCCATGTCTAGGAGGTGCTGCTTTCTTCATTGTGACCAAAAATTACCCTTGCTTGGACTGCCAAAAGATGAAGGAACAAAGAAGTGGTTGGAATTTATTTTTGATACAATTCCTCCACAGTACAACCAGGACATTTTATTGTGTTCCCTTTATTTTCCTGAGGATTGCTCCACAAACTGGCAACAGTTTACTGCTGGATTTTCACTGCAGTTACTCCTGAAAGACGAGGCAGTTCCCTTTGTTGGACAAATCTGGAGATTAGTTTGGTTGTACACCCAGTGCTTAGCTGTAGGCCTCAGCTAACTGGCTAACCAAAGCTATTGTTTTGAAATGCTTTTGCTACTTGGTGTATAGTAAAATAAACAGCTAGCTGGGTGGTGTCAGTAAGATGAATTTAATGACTGAATTGTGGAGAATCTAACAGAGCTAAGATGTGCAGCATGTCCATATTGACAAAGTTGAGACGTTTCTATGTGTGATGCCCAATCTAAGCAGCTACTGCTGCTAGCTCGCTAGCTAAGCAGCTGCTGCCGCTAGCTCGAGCGATTAGCTGACAGGCAACAGTCAGACCTGGGTTGGAAGTAAGACCTGCATTTGTTTGTCAAAATGTGTGGCTGTACTCAGAGTTTGATTGTGAATCAGCTTTTGAGGAGGACCTATTATGCTTTCTCCCTTTTCCTTTGTGTTTTACACAGCATTATAGCTGTAGGTCTCGGCTAACTGACAAACCAAAGCTATTGTTTTGAAACTCTTTTGCTACCCGGCATACAGCAAGTTAAACTACTAGTCTCAGTAAGATGAATTTAAGGATGAAATTGTGGAGCGTCTAACAGAGATAACAATGTGCAGCATGTCCATATTGACAAAAGTTTCAACATGTTTATCTGTGCAAGGCTTGAAATTAACTTTTTACATGGTAGCACTGGTGCTCCTAACTTCAAAAAGTTAGGAGCACC